GGGAAAATGACCATTTAGTTTACTAGAGCCAAAGATCGTCATGTTCCTTATTTTGTTTTACCATCAGTCCAAAAGCTGCATATATTCAGCTGATTATCTGATAAGACAAAGAAAAGCAGAAACAAACACCATAGAATAGTGGCATTTCTGCTTGAAAATTATCATAATGATGAATAAATTATTATCAAAACAGTTGCCGATTAATTTTCTGTCAATGGATCAATAAACTAATCCTTTTAACTTCTGAATTATTTTCATGGCTGTTTGTCAGGTATGTCTATTAACACAGTAGGTTATTTTATGCATTACATTGCAACCTAACACACCCATAAAAAACATGCCCTAAAAAATGATAATAATTAAGTAAAATTAAAGGTCCAGTGTGTAGGATTCAGGGGCATCTATTAGCAGAAATGATATATAATATTCATAACTATGTTTTCATTACTGTATAATCACCTGAGAATTAGTAGCGCTGTGTTTTCATTACCTTAGAATAAGCCGTTACTATCTAGAGCGGGCCCTTTTTCATGGAGTATGCCATGTTGTTCTACAGTAGCCTGGAACAGACAAATCTAAGGAAAAGGACTATTCTTGTTTTGGTGTAGGTCACAGTAGTTCTCCTAAACACGTAGCAAACAAGTTTCAGTTCTGCTAGATGCCACTAAATCCTACACAGCTAACACAATACCAAGACAGACAGGAGATTATTAATGCTTGACTAATTCTTCCTTACAGCAAATGTTAATTGTGTGAAACACATGCTGTTGTGAGTACTGGTCTGTAAATTAATTTGGTTCCTAAATGTTTTATGGTGCTACATCTCACACTGGTGTGACTCTTGTCACAACCGTAGGTAACCTTCTCCTCGGTGGAAGTCCCTACTTGAGTGTCCAGCAAGGCAAGCTGATTCTGACCATCCCAGCAGGCATTCAGCTCACCAGTTTACCCCTGAAACCAGTCCCTGAGGCTCCACCCATTTCTGCTAATGGTGTGAGCTCTGTTCTCACCTCCTCCACTCCTCCTGCAGCTTTAACCACCTCCGGCCTGACCCCCAGTGGCCTCACATCATCTCCCCTTAACTTCATCAACACGTCTCCACCATACGGTGCTCCAGAGACTGGGACACCTGCCCAGCCCTCCCCTCATGCGCTGGACCATTCAGTCACCCCGACGCCAAATACTCTGACTCCAGAAAGTATGCTCACCCTCAGTCCCATGTACAGTGGGGCGACACCCAGCACCCAGTTGTCCCAGCCAGCCTGGAGCCCTGTGCCCCTCTCCACTTCAGCTAGTCTAACTCTGTTCGATATCCGCAGCAAGGGGGACCTACCTGTAGACCCGGCTTTGTTAGGCCTACCTGGAGGAGAGTCGCTGCTTCTGGGAAGCCCCTCGTCAGAGCAGGATGTGGAAGCCAGCTCGGCACTGGGGAATCCAGAGGAGATGGATGGGGACTCCAAGATTCTTACTCAGCTCCAGTCTGTCCCTGTGGATGATGATTTGGGCTTGTAGTCTGTTTACCCTGTGGGTCGGCAACCCAGTGTCTCTGGATAAAAACATACAGCAGGTTGCAGACTCTGCTGTCTGAGAGATTTTACTCCACAATGTCAGTCCTCTAAGAGCCAAATGTTTGTTTTTACAATATGTTCAGCACAGAGAGGCAAAGTCTGTCCCCTTCCGGTGGACCACCACGGGACCTTGTTTTGGAAAAAAACAACGTATGGCAGTCAGTGGAGGGAGACAAATAATTTTTTGATCCCATTTGCATTGTGCCATGAATTACACATATGATGTCTGTAGATTTAAAAGATAATTTTGCTAGTAACAAAAGTCATAGTTTGTCGTATGTAACTTGGATGACTACACAAGTCGTTTTGGAAGCGTTATACCTCTTTCCCTCGCTGAAGCTAGTACTGGGGTATACGAAGTGCGCCATGTGTCCTGCTCGTTCTTTAGCTTCCCAGCTGATAAAAAGACCAGTATAGTCTCATGCTGGTGAAGACTCTCAGTCATCCAGGTCATGGTAATGTTAAGTGCTACATTGTAGGCAACTGGACTTGCTTGAGTTTTAGTTCATCAGTTGTTCAGAGCTGAAGAAGCCTCTTGGATGAGAGGTGAAACGTCCTCAAGAAACTCAAGCGAGTCCAGTTGCCTACGATATAGCACTTATGATGACCAGTATAGTCACTGGGTGAACAGCCGAGGTAAAGTAACATTACATTTGTGCTGGGAACAAAGCTAGATTACAGAGCTAGTAAAGTTGCAGGTGTAGGTGACATAAATTGTGCGTGGCGAGAAATGCAGTTCTCCGAGCAGTTTCACACAAAATTAAATAGTGCTACAATAAACTGCAATGTTCTTGACTCGAAAAATTATTTTTTAAATTGATAAACGTGTAATTCATGGCACAATTCAAATGGGACTATAGAATAATTTCTCTTTGCTGTTGACTACCGTACATATTTTTTTTTCCAAAAGAATGTCCCATGGGAACACTAGGAGGAGAGGGACCTCTGCTCTCTGAGAAAAGCCTAATACCGTCATGGTCTTAGCTGGCACTTTTGAGACAAATCCTCTCCAGTTATGTTTCACATGGACGGGCAGGGTTGTTTTTACTAAAAATCCGTACGTGCCTTATCTGTTTTATCAGATCCAGACAGAAGAAATAACTGGGCTTCATCTGCTTGGCCCACTCACAGGTCCTGGTGGTAAAAAAAGAGACTATATTACGCAAGGCGTTTTGGCTTTGCCCATTCTCTCAGCTCTCCTTTGCAGTTTTGTGGACTACAGACCAAGTTTGGAAAAGATGTCTGGGGTTTTTGCTGGCAGTAGAAGTACTTCATTATGGACCCACCGCAGTAACTTTACACCAAACTATCTGGCAAAGGCATAAATCTAGAAATAACTGAGTGTTGACTGCCTGTCCAGAGCTCAGAGATTCAGGACGTGTTCCGCAGACACTCCAGGAATATAGTGAGGAGCGTATTCTTCACAAACAGGACTTGAGTTTTATGTGAAACTATTCTTACATCATAGCTTCAATGGCTATAAAGCAGTATTTTATTACAATGAGTTACTGAAGTCTGGGCTGAAACATGCTGCCAAACTACATTTTTATCAGTCAGCTGTTTGAAATGACTCTCTGCAGTTTTCAAAAACTGCCCTCCATTAGTAAAGCTACAACACAGGAAAGAAAAGGGTCTTTACTCTATGCAATGCATGTTTAGTTTTTTTTTTTATAGGACACTATGTGGCACAATGGCTGAGTTGAACAGTCAGTACACTTGGGAGATGAGGAAAAGCTTTTTCAAATACATGAAGCATGCATGACACTAAAGCGTTTTGCTGTGATCCCACGTAGTGATGCATCCAAAACCGGTTGATACGTTGATAAGTGCCTTATTTTAAAGCTTATTGGTTTAATGTTTTTGAGTTTTAAAACAGTTTTTCAAGTGCTACACACCTGACCAAATGTTGGTATTCACTCTATGGACATTTTTTGAATACCCACATTTCTGTGTCTGATCTCCAGTGAAAAAATGTGACAGTTTTGGTTGCATTGTCATCGCTCAATCTCCTCTATTTGTATATTTTGCACCTTTTATTCACATGATGTTTACGCTGCGTTGCCATGTTGTTGTGACAGTGGTTAGACTCACATCCTTTCATAATCGGAACATTAAAAATCCCCACTTGACTTTACAGGACACTGATTTCCTGATTAAATCTGCCTTAAATTGACGAAACAGGCCTATTTGTTTGAAACCTAAAATTGCTAATCATCATCATATGAGCTTTCCACTGTCATAACACAGGTGGCAGTCAAACCTTTGGCCAATTATGGTACACAAAAATACACTTTAGTGTCGCATCTAGTTACAGTAATGGCCTTTGTGTTGTTGTTTTTTTTATTAGTTTGTTTATTGTTTGTCTTTTTTTGTACATTTAATCTATTTAAAGCATGTATCAATCAGTAAGAAAATGAGTCCTTGTGGAAAAACGCAGATAGGAAATGATATTCATTTTCACTCGGAAGGTCACGTCGTTGGGCAAACTGAGGTTGTGTAATCTTAGACTACAGGTATTAAATCAATAGTTATGGCAGGTAGGTAACTTTCAAACACAGTAGGTTATTCCTCGTTAATAAATGTTGAGGTCATTCATTCTCAGCGGCCTCTGTGTAGAATATTAAATGGCTTGGACAAATCAATTTTAGTCTTTTAGTAGTTAGGGGTAAAGGGAAATGTGTCCTGTGTGTAAAATACGGTAGTCTGCGTTTGTTTAAATGAGCCATTTCTTACCAAAGTATGTAGACGTTGAAGCCTCTGTGGGCTTATGCACATTTGTACCCGTCTGTTCGTCGCCTCGGATACGTTGTCACTCTCTCCTACCTGACACACATGACTCCAGATTTAACCAAAGATAATGTGTTCTGATCGACTTTTTGATAGTTCTGAAAGGGATCGTTTGTCATTCAAGGTTCTTGTTATCTCATTTTTGTATTCAAATGCATTCTATTTTTTATATTACATATTATTGTAATAAACTACATTTACAAAAAAAAGGTTTGGCTTTTATTATGAGTGTTGGGAACTGAGTTGCTGTCAATGCTAAAACTTGTTGACTGAGGATTTTGCTTCTAATTTGGCAAGAAAATTTTATTCAAATGTGTTTTCGCTCTGCACAGCGAAACCATCATCCTCTCCCTTGCTGCGGGTGACTGCAGGTCCAATAGTGAATCCAAAGTGTGTGTGGGGTGTGCATGGATGTGTTTGTACAAGAGAAGGAGGGATGTATGGTGTGTTGTGATATCCCTGATGGTGTCAGGTTACCTGTGATTTGATTCTGCCAGGGCATGATGAGTAATGATAAACACACATGCTCCACAGACGCTCCAGCACAAACTTAAAAGAGAAGTCTTCAGGAGATATCTCCACACTGACTTTGATTCAACTCACATCTCAGGACTTTTTTGGGGCCACCATTCTGTTTCCATAGCAATGATCTTCACTGCAGAGCAGGTGGCCTGTGTGTGCGAGGTCCTTCTGCAGAGCAGTTGCATGGATCGTCTCGCCGGCTTTCTCTGTAGTCTTCCTCCTCCTTCCCTCTCCTCCTCTCCTCACCCTGGGGAGCTGGAGAGCGTGCTGAAGGCCAAAGCAGCAGTGGCCTTTCACCAGGGCCGCTTCGCTGACCTCTATACCCTGCTGGAGGGCTTCCCCTTCTCCCACCGCAGCCACCCTCTCCTGCAGCAGCTCTGGCTCAGAGCCCACTACATGGAGGCGGAGAGGCAGAGGGGCCGACCCCTGGGAGCTGTGGGGAAGTATCGCGTGAGGAGGAAGTTTCCTCTACCACACACCATCTGGGACGGAGAGGAGACCAGTTACTGTTTCAAGGTATCTTATCGTACTTCAAATGTGCTCCTGAACTGTTCTTTAGATTGCTGGTATGTGCTAACTACATTGTGAGAGACTATTGTGAATTTTAATCAGCTGTAAAATTATTGAAGGACATGATGTTACACCTCACATTTACTATTTGTATGTATGTCCTGTTCTTACTGTAAGTACAATATTGTGGTTCTTGTGTTATACTTAATTTATATTTATATGTACATATTATACTAGCATACTGTATTTTATTTCTATTACACCACATTTCAGGGGGAAATCCTGTTCTCTTCAGTCCACTATTTTTATCTGACATCTATAATCAGGCTTTAATTAATTACTTTTCAGATTCAGACTACATTAAAAAACATATAATCATCCTCTAGATTACCATAACCAGAGGAAGGCCTATTGTAGTAAAACTGCGCTCCACTTTGACCAGCTACAACTTTTAAATGCTGATATTATAAATGATACTGATAAAAGGAGCCATTTTGAATAGTTTTATTTTTGGTAGTTACAGTATTTTTTGCTGGTGATATTTGAATAAAATTCTGATTGCAGGACTTTTACTTGTAGTGCAGTATTTTCACACTTTAGTGGTACCATTTTTACATTAGTTTAGCCTCTGAACCTTAAATGTTCAACGTGCAACATGTTTGATTGATGGATTTTGACCACTGTATTATATTTAAAAAGAATTCACTAAAACAATTCATCATGAATAAATGGTTAATCGCAACACAGCTCACATTTGCTAACATCTAAACTTCAGATTTAGTGAACTGGGCTTATTGATGTATTGAAAGAGATAGTTTAATTCTTTTTCTGTCTTTGTGTTTTAAAGGGACAGTTCACCCAGAAAATCAAACTTACATATTTTTCCTCTTACCTGTAGTGCTATTTATCAGTCTAGATTGTTTTGGTGTCAGTTGTCGAGTGTTGGAGATATCACCCATAGGGATGTCTGCCTTCTCTTGAATATAATGGAACTAGATGGCACTCAGCTTGTGGTGCTGAAAATGCCAAAAATAATCCAATGACCTTGTTGTGAATAGTTTAATGCAGGACCTATTTTCTTTCTACCGAACTACACCCACCAACCATATCACTGTGCAGAAGAAGGCGTCCATCTACTCATGGCGAGAGGATCAAGCTTGTGACAGTGTGAGGTGTACACATTAATGGCATTCTCCTGGCTGAGTTGTAATGTTAGCTAGCTCAGGTGAACTAGCACTATCAAACTATTTGAATATTATTGTCATTATTTTAGTGTTTATTTTGGCAGTTTTGATCATCTTGAGTAACCAGGTCATGATTTTTGGAAAGAGGCATTGCTGTTGAGATTGTCAAATACATTTTTTGGCACTTTGAGCACCACAAGTTGAGTTCCACTACATGTGAGAGGCTAATCTCTCCAAAACGGACACCAAAACTATCTCAACTGATAAATAGCACAACATGTAAGAGGTAAAATATGTGTTTTTCATGTATGGTTGAAGTATCCCTTTAACACGTTCAGGCTTCACTTTATTTATTCAACTCACCAACAGGAAAAATCACGGAGTATACTGCGTGAGTGGTACCGCCATAAACCTTATCCCTCCACCCGGGAGAAGCAGGAGCTGGCAGCGTCCACCGGCCTGACAACCACACAGGTCAGCAACTGGTTCAAGAACCGCAGGCAGAGGGACCGAAACATGGACATTAACGGGTCAGTGGCGGGGCAGCAGGTCGCTCTTGGGGGAATTGTTTAACTTTGTCTCACTGTTTATCTCTTGCCAACAGCAAGTATATAAAAGTATAATTACCTCCTTGTGATTGTATGCCTCTGCAAACCAGTCAAGTTGCACTTATAGTTTACATTAATGACTGTGAAAACATGGATGCTTCACACACAGATCTATACAGTCAGCACAGTTTTAAGGTGAACACTCAAGATTAGTGTCACCAATTAAGCATCTGACCAAATGTCTCCCCTTCTGCTCCTGAGATAAAACACTAGTGTTTTCGTAGAACATTATGATGTCATAGTGAAGCTGACCTTTGACCTTTTGGATATGACATGTCATCACTTCGTCATTATACCCTATTATACATTTGTGTGAAGTTTTGCCATAATTAGCATATGAATTCTTGAGTTACGGCAAAAAACATGTTTTGTGAAATCTCAATGACCTTTGACCACCAAAATCTAATCAGTTCATTTTTGAGTCCAAGTGGACGTTTGTGCCAAATTTGAGGAAACACCCTCAAGGCTGTCTAGAGATACTGGGTTCATGAGAATGAGATAAGCTCAAGGTCCCAGGTGATCTTTGACCACCAAAATCTAATCAGGTAATTCTTGAGTCCAAGTGAAAGTTTGTGCCAAATTTGAAGAAATTCCCTCAAGGCATTCTTGAGCTATCACGTTCACGAGATAGGGACAAACAACCGGAAGGACAACCCAAAATCACAATGCCGCCAGCCACCGTTATCGCCGGCGTGGAGGTATAAAATATTGAGACATGACTTTACAACAGGACAAAACAATTTACAGCCACTCTCACCACAGCCACAGTGAACAGACTAATACACCGTGACTGGACTGTTGGTATTTAGTCTGGCACCAAAACAAAGAATGTTAGAATGATAACATTTCATGCATAGACCTTGGTGGTCTATTGATGATTTTATGGTTTTCCTGCCACTATTATCTTACAGTTTGAAACCAGGTGAAAGTATAAGCACTGGTTTGTCTCTCTTTTAAAGCAACATGGACATCTGCAAAGGCCTTACAGCAGAACCAAATTTTAGAGCAACCTGAGAATATATAAAAACCAAATGGAAGTTGTGATGTTAAACGCTCTGTTGTCTCATTTTATATAAAACAACAGCGCCATCTTGTGGTCGAATTAAAACATGATTATAGACAGGATAGACAGTGTTGTGTTAAGACAATCAGATTCATTTTCTAATGCCCCTCATCTCTTTGTTCAGTTTCCAAACATCACACTCTGGAGGACCCTCAGGAGACGTCTACCCTTCCTCTGACAATGACTTTTCACCTCCAGCAAGCCCATGTCCCCTTCACCACTGCCCTCCACCTCCACCTCCACCTCCACCTCCACCCCTCTCTCACCCACCACCTCCTCTACATCACATGTGTGAAGGCCTCAACTGAATCTGCCCTTCAAATGTTTGATTTGTAATTTCTAATACATGGTTGTTTCTTTTTTTTATTAAATTTTTAAAAACTGTTTTGGTCTTTCTTGAATGTTATTCTAGTCTATTTTTTGTGTCAGTGAAAAAAAAAAAATACTTTGCAAGTCAAGTATGTTGCCAAAACATGACTCAGCAGACATTGCTCTTTAATGTGTTACAGCAGGGGTGAACAGGGGCCAGATAAGATAATGTGAAAACACCTGGGGGCCAGCTGCTCACATTATATGGGTTATGTTAAAAAAAAAAAAAAAATCACATACAGATGAGACGAATGCAACTGTTTATCTTTCAGTCACAAAGATCAGTGAGCTATGAACTGTACGATAGTCCTGCCATCATGAGGTGAACAGAAAAAGATGCAAAGTAAACTTGCTTGATAAACCAATATTGTGTAGCGGGCCATACATAGCATTAAAATTGGTATAAAAATGGTTATGATTGGCCCTCAGGATGGACAATGCACTGGTGAAATGCTCCTGCGTGTATTGTATGCACAAGTTCCAGCATTTTGTGTCTGACTTCCCGAATTTGCATCAAATTCTGAGAGAAACTGAATAAAACCGCTGTATTTTTATTGCAGATTTGTTACTACACCTTTTCATATGGTGTAAAATACCATCTGTTGGATTTTCACTCTGATTACATCATTACACTGTCACAAAATGTGCAGTATAGCCATATAATATAGCTAGCAATTAACAACAGCAGATTGTAAGGCCAAGAGGATCTTCGGTCAAGTGAGGATAAAGAATTATTCACAGATATGTCCCAGTGTTCACAGCAGCTCAGAGGCCTCAACTCATAGAGTCTGTCTTTGAGAAGACATTTGTGCAGTTAATTATATTAATGTAAGGAAATAAAGTAAACTATGATTTCGTTTTTTCACAGGAATGAAGCGAAATAATAATTTAGAGTGCTATTAAATCAGACTCAACATTCCCATCTGTTCCTCTGGTACCATCATTTATAACTACTGACATTTTAAGACTCTTTCCACATCACATTCCCAGACATTTGGACAGGCGCCTCAAACTCATCTCTCACATGAAACGAAGGAGTCTGGTCAGTCCAGCAGGACCAAGTCTTTGGTAAAGTTTTAGCTGGTATTCCATTAGTTGGTTTCACAGAGTTCTTCTCTTGTGCGTTTGGGTCCAATTCATGCTGGTCATTTAGTGATTACTTGTCATCAGTGTGACAAACAGCACAAGTACTCCAGTAGGAGTAAAAAAGTAAGTACCTTCACCACAAATATCTGTGAGTGTTTGGTTTCAGAAGCCCAGATACTCTGCCAGAAACACAGCCATGACCTTGGTCAGGTTCACCACAGTGGGACGGTGCATGTTCTCCTCTGTGTCGTCCAGTGTGTGCCAGAACTGTGGGAAGGGAGTGGCGATGACGTGTAGCACAGGGACACCTGCATGTGTGTAGGAAAGAGGGAAATATTGAGGTTGATTGACAGCATGTGTTACAAACTTAGGACAAATCTCCAGCTGTGTGAAACTCACCTTTGTGAAGGAAGGGGATGTGGTCGTCCTGCACAGGGCCGAGGTAAACATCCTTCCTAAAATACGTCTGCTCTGAGGGGTGAGACGTCAAGAGACCCTGTCGATGGAGTCTCTTCTCTGAGAGTGAGGGGGATAAAAGTAGAGTTAGGACACACAACAGAGAGGGGATTTGGATGTTGGCGATATCAGCTATAGAGACGTCTGCCTTCTCTCAAATATAGTGGAACTAGATGGCACTTGCGCCAAAAACTACATCTGAAAAACTCAACAGCAATGTCTCTTTCCAGAAATAATGACTCAAGGAAACCCACAGATCTTGTTGCGAGCAGTTTCATGTGGGAACTATTTTTTTCTACCGAACTACACCTGTTAACTGTGTCACTGTGCAGAAGGGAGTGTGCATCTACTCACTGCAGCTACCGTTAGAGCTCAGCCAAGGAGGACACCAATAATATTTACAACTCGAGCTGTCAAGAGCAGGAGCCTCTCGTCTTTGAGTAGACCAACCCCCCAGGAACAGCAACGTACTACTTTAAGCAAGCCACAGCTTCTGAGGCTGATAAATGAAGCCAATGCTCAAGTGCCAAAAGCTACAGTTCTTTGAACAGCCACTCGAGGCTGGCTCCAAAACAGAATCAATCCCCATAGACCCCCATGTTAAAATGCTAAACTTTATAGCAGAAATAAACATGTTTGCAGCTGGGTACAAAAACAGGTTTGGTGTCCATAGTTAATTTCAACATTAATGACAACTGTACAGGATGGGAATTTTTTTTATAACTCATCAGTTTTCATTTTATTATGGCCCAAAGTTACGCATATTTAAAGTCTATGAGGTGCCGCTACAGTCTTTGAGTCAGATCCACCACTCGTTCCTCCACAGCTCCAACCTCTCACCCAAAGATGGCCACTTCTGGCTCAGAAAAAAACAAATTGTCGACAGCCAAAATGCCAGACTCGAGGCTTCAAAACAGCAGTCCACAAACCACTGGGTGACATTGCAGCAGCTATGTACATTTCTTATACAGACAATGACTTTATGCCAATATGACACAGTGGCCAAACCATGGAATTACAACTTCTGGGTATGTCACAATTTAACTCCATGGGGCCCAACAGACTTTTTCCCATAGAGTTAAATTGTGAAAAAGATGGCTGTAAATCAGCGGCTCACTAATAGCTGAAGCCAGAGTTATTTTCCTACTTTTATTCATGAAAGTGAGTTGTTGGGGAGCTGGGGTTAAGGGAAACGCCAGTGTGCTTGCTCTTTGAGCTCATGAATGTGAAAGATCAGGATAATTTTATACCTGTAACTCAAAGAATTTGGGCTTCATGCATCACTGACTAACTTCCAAAGTGATGAACAGGACCCCGCCTCCAAGGCTGTATCCAGCTTTTTTAAACATCCATGAGTAGATGCACGCTTCCTTCTGTGCTGTGATACCGCTGGTAGGTGCAATTCAGTAGAAAGAAAGCACATCCTACATGAAACTGCTCACAACAAGCTCTGTGGATTATCTTGAGTAACTGGGTTATGATTTCTGAAGAGACGTTGCTGTTGAGTTTTTCAAATGCATGTTTTGGCACTTTGAGCACCACAAGCTGAGTGACATCTAGTTCCTTTGTATTCGAGAGAAGGCAGACACCTATACGGCTGACATCTCCAACACTCTGCAACTCACACCAAAGCAATCAAGGCTGATAAACAGCACTACAGGTAAGAGGAAATGATTTTGGGGTGAAATATCCATTTAAACATTCATGCAGATGTTGGAGCCAGGGTTACCTGCAGCGATCAGACGGTCAAACCAGCGAGCTGTGTTATCAAAGTGATTTGCAATCAATGGATCAGGACCACCCAGCAGGTCGAGCAGCACAAAAAGGTCCTGGAGAGAAAGTGCAAAGTCAAAAATGGCTACTGAATATTTAGTTTTCTTTTAATCATAGTGCAGTAAAAACACACACATAAACAGTAGTGTTAGGTTACATGACAAAGAGGGTGAAGTCAGAGACTGTAACTAGGTTTGGGCCGTTAAATATAAATTCAGACCTGTCCTAAATTACTTTATGTAGTAGGAGAGTCAGTTCATAAAGGCATGACAGACCTGCTGCTATTCTTAAGTTTAGGCAGTCTGCTAAATTCAGCCTGCTCATTCATAATTTAGAGCGTGTCTGGATCAGGATGTGAGGAAGACCATGAAGGACGTGTATTTTTGTTTGCTCACCACAGCCTGGAGCATGGTGGTGTGTGTGGAGCCCGCAGGGTGAGGTGTGTTGGCCATGCGCTCGGCCAGGTGACGGGAGCCGTACAGTGAGTCGGTGGCGGTCCATTCTTCAAATGACTCCTCGCCATCGAAAAACACCAGCTGAAGAGTCACTGGAAGTTTCTAAGAGGAAAAACAAAGAAAGGAATTAAAATGCACTTTTCCAAAAAGCAGCAATCAAGGCCAGTTTCTCTTTCTGCAGTGCTGTCGCAGTGTGTAGTCTCACAGTAAGTACATAAATCACAGCCTCTGGAGGGATACTGCTATTTACAGATGAGTGCTGCAAAGAAAACAAGGAGCTGGGGTCAGCATTTTCTATCCCATACTGCAGGCAGAGAGCCAGAGGGACGAAACGAGAGTAGGAGAAGAAGGGGGGAAAAAGTGAGAAGCTCCTCGTCAGCATCTCATGCATTTTCTCTTTGTCATGGGAAGGATTACAAGAAATAGAAAACTAATCTGCTCTAGCTGCTGTCTATAATTTAAGTGCTAACCACTGCAAACTGCCACGACATCAACAGAAATGAACACAACTGAGCACACACCTGCTGTTTGAATGATCTAAGCTGGGCATCCAGAGAGGTGGCAAGCTCCAGGATCATAGCACAGGGCACTGCTGAGTCACTGGCCCCAAGAAACACCTTCTCTGGGGCCCGGGGGTCTGGAGGCAGAGCCTTGGAGTCGTAGTGGCAGGCCAGGAGCAGCCTGCGAGGGGCCGAAGGGTCCAGAGTGGCAACGATGTTGGTGAAGGTGACCTGGCCGCGAGGGGTTGAAGACTGAAAGGAGTCTAAGTCCATGGCCCAGCCGGCAGACAGCGAGGACAGAGTGGAGGTGATGTGCTGGAGCAGAACAGAGAGGGCGGATTAAAGATGAGGGAGGAACACGTGTAAGGAGGAGGAAACTATAAATATGTACACACCTGCTGTACTGCCAGACTGCCCTGTGTTCCTGGGAGCCTCTCTATCAGGATGGGCCTCAGGTGGGTCTCCCACAGGCGGGTGCCATCCACCTGAGAGGCCAGACGGCGGATTTGAGCTGGAGAGCACTTGCTGGGTTTGTGGGACAACTGCATGGATGAGAGATGAGAGTAATAAAATAATATAATATAATATAATAATAAAAGTAATAAAATGATGAAACAGCTGCACACAGACAGCCTTGACTCGATAGATTTCACCATGGTTTTAAACTCTTCAAGGTCACCATGTCTTAAAGCTTAAGAACAGG